ACATTCAAACACACAACCATTCAGTGTGTTTACTTTACAAAGCACTTGCTGGATTAAGCTAACGCCTCCAAGTAGTATGTATGCGTACATTTATGTCTAAGGGACTTCATTTCTAACACTTTGGTCTTCAGTAAGAAACCCTGTGTCTGTCTCTCAGGTTTGATCATTGATGCATTTGGAGAGCTGAGAGACCAGCAGGAGCAAGTCAGAGAGGACATGGAGGTAAGGCTTAATTTTAAACAACCTACATCTCTCTTTCAACTACTAGACATGATTTTGTTTCTCATAAAGTTTCCTTTCTCCCTTTAGACAAAGTGTTTCATCTGTGGAATAGGGAGTGACTACTTTGATACGACGCCGCATGGCTTTGAGACACACACTTTAGAAGAGCATAACTTAGCCAATTACATGTGAGTGGCATTACAAACGCAGATGTGACTTTCACGCCATTAAACATAATATTCTGTTATTTAAAATAGAAAATCAGCAGATATTTGTGCTAATTGTATTAATCTGAAAATCATGTTTAACCCCTTAATGCTAATGATTTTGACTTTGAATTTGTGTTTCTGTTTCAGGTTCTTCTTGATGTATTTAATCAATAAAGATGAAACAGAACACACAGGACAGGTGAGTAAATATAGGGATTGATTTGAGACAAATATTGATGTTTCAAAAACAAAGGTGCAGGCCTCCTTAGTATTTTTTGGAATTGTTAATTTTGAAAGTCGGTATTCACCAACGTTGCACCATTTTTCAGGAGTCATATGTGTGGAAGATGTACCAGGAACGATGCTGGGACTTCTTCCCTGCTGGAGACTGCTTCAGGAAGCAGTATGAGGACCAGCTTGGATAAAGTCATGCATCTTTACTCTGCATCCAATGGAGAAAGAGAGGGGAGAGAAAGATATGAAATTTTAAGATCAAACATATCTATGTCTTAGTTTTGTCCTTTGCCTGCACAGTTATCTCCTCTGTTAAAGCTATGCACACTTTGACTGCACTGTTTGTATCATTGTGCAGAACCTTCCCCAACAATTACT